CACATCTATTTTATTTTATTTCTATTTATCTTAATATATGAAATCTGATTATGTTCGTGTTTATCATTATTTCCGTTATTAATATCATTATTAGTTCCCTGACACATTAGATATTCTTTTTGTATCTTCTTATCCTTCTAAACATATTTAACTCCAGATTGTCCTTTAAAATCAATTTTGACTTTCATAGCATCAATCTTAATTATTATTGCACAAATATTTATACTAATATCCGGTTTCACTCTGTATACTATTACATAAATCTAAATGTATTCATCCGAGTGCTTTAACGGATTTTTATTTTATTTTTTCAATTGCTGGTTTCCTTCTGAGGTTGATATTCATTACACAATTATTATTCTTATCATGGATCAAAACTTTTCACTAGGTGTTCACTTCTTTTCTTTCTCTTCTTTCCCTCTAAATAAATATTATTCTTAAGATTACGAAGTTTGTAATTAAAACAATAACTTGTGTTACACTTAAATTAAATTCTCAGACCCGTTTTATCTTCACTATGCATATATGACTCATACATATTGATATTTTATTATCCTTTTCATTTAATTGTAACTTTCATAGCATCACTCTAAACTATAACTGCACAAACATTTATTCTAGCGTCATATCTTACTGCAATTATAAGTTATTTTTTCTTAATTATTTTTTGTTACTAATTTAACGATACACACATAGTCGTTTATTCTTGTTCTGTGTTCGTAAACACGCCTATTAGACTGTTTGCGTATTTCACGTCTCCTTTATTTCTATTCCCTTATTTTCTCCATTTCCTTCTTTAAACTCAATTCAATATTCTTCTCAATTGCACAGACCCGATTTATTATTATTAATATTCTACTATTATTGCTCTAAATTTTTTTAAAATGGCAAGTAGAATGCTGACATTATTGAAAATTGTGTATTATTGCATTTTTTGAAGAAACCCGAAATGGTTTCTTCACAACACTTATGTACCCATAAGATGTTTGTGAATAATAATAATAAGGTGTTGTTCTTACCTTTTTCTATCAGTTAGGTCTCCGCGTCTAGGGGTAGAACGTTTCAGTGTTTCGTAAGGATCAGAAACATCACTAGTGAACATACTAGGTGTTACGTACCTGTTGAATTCGCGCGGTAGTGCCTTGACCACTGCGAGGAATTGTGGACGTGTGTCGATCACGCCGTGCTCGGAGAAGTTGGCTTCTGCGTAGCAAAACCAGGCTTCGATGTTGTCTGGCCAGAAGGGCATCAGTTGGAACGAAGGTAGAGACATAGTATTTAGCTTAAGTACTTTGGGGGTCTGTCAGTCATAGTGAGATATGAAGTACGAGAACGAACGAGGGAAAAATAATGTATCAAAAAGGCACGAAAAAATATCACAATATATAAGAAATTAAACTAAGTTAATGATATATAGAATCCCAAAAAGGAACAGACTCACAGGTTACGATTTGGTTTACCAGATCACGTTAGGCTTACCAATGAAGATGCCGCAGGTATTCAAGGTTTGACAACGCTTTAACCAGCAACACATTCTAATATGAATCTCACCCACCAAGTGAAATCAAATGACAGAAGCGAGGAGGTTCGAAGATATATTTGATAGACTATCAACATATCGAGGATCGTCTGATCTAATCTGGCTAGCGATTGCAGGGGTTGTTGAGCACGGCGTTCCCGCTCGTGATCTGGTGCGGATGCATGACCGAGCGCCTTCAGCTAGGTGAGTCCACTAAAACTAATGTGGTCAGCATCCAATGTCGAAAACTTACAGAGCTATTTATTTTGGAAATTTATTTACCGCTACAATCCCCTTGGTTTCTTACTTTTCTCCACAGTTTCGCATAGTCAGTGAAAATTAATAAATCTGACTATGCCTGATGTGGAAGATCGCTTACATAAATCAAGAAAAAGAAGAGGTCCTAGTATTGAACCCTGAGGGACCTCACTAACACATTTGATTTCCTGAGAGAAAGTAAAGTTAACATTGACCTTAAAATGTCGATTTTCTAAATACGAAGTGAGCTGGTCAATAAGAAGTGATTTGATACACAGTTGTTTGAGCTTATTTATAAGACATATATGGTTTACCCTGTCAAAAGCTCTTGAGAAGTTAAGGTGTATGACATCAACCTTCCCCTTGCAGTCAAGGATGGTTGTCCATCTGTCCACCGCAGTCTGCAGGTTGGACAATCTACGGCAGGTGGACTGGGAATTTCACCCTAAACTTGATGTGGATGCTGATTGAAATTTCTTACTGCTCTCGATCTTTTGTAATCTAAAGCAATCTGTTCCAGAAAAGCTCCCCAGAATCTATAAGCAACCTACAATCATCAAGAATTATACTTTCCTTCCGCTAAAACGAAAAAGATAGTGTTGGGCAGGGTACAGACGAACTGGTAACGATGGCGCATACAGGCAGTTAGAAAAAAATAAGGAACATATGCGCGAAAGCAATAGGAGAGGACAGGCTTCAGTATCAGATGAAGTTTGTCGACGAATTTGTCTCCAATCCGAAAAGCCTATTCCGTCATGCAGCCTCTCTGCATTAAAACCAAGGCCGGAGATTTCCAACTGCTAGAATCAAATGGCCCAACCAACAACAACGGTTACGCCGCCAACCCTCTGACAGAACAGTACTCTCGGACATTTGAATAGACATACACTAACTGTGTTGACGAAAGCTTCATCTGCAACTCCGCAGGGATTTCCGAAGTGAACATGAGCGCTGTCTCGGAGTACCGCAAACTGCAGCACCTAAGAAAAAACACTTGCCCTGGCCCAGATATAGTTCATTCTGCTATACTGAGGGAAGCAGCTTCAGTCATTGCAACACGTTTAGCGGTGGGAAGGAAAGAGGAACGTTGAAGTAATATACTCTGACTTCACAAAAGCTTTTGATTGGACAAACCATATTCATCTTATCAATAAGCTCAAGTGATCAGATGCCATAGAACCATCGACTGTTTAACGGTTCTAATTCAGGAAATAAAACATATTATATAAAAATAAAGAATGCCTCAAACGATACAGCCTGTAGTTTCAGTTGACATGTTAAGCCCACATATATGATTCTAGCTTTCGGACAGGCCAGTCCATTCATTCTACTTGAGCCGTATTTTGACGTTGATAATTATTCGTTTATCAATCTTGACTGTTTTTACATAAGTGCATATGTGTGTGTACATTTCTTATCTTAGTCACCACGTCCGTAACTTACTTTTGCGTGACTATAAATATTGATTAACGCTTGGATAATGAAGTCGGTTCGCCTGCCATCTCTACTGCGCGTCGTTTCGCTTCTCTCTATTTCATTCGCTTCATATACAAAATACATGTATTCAAAAGTCCATTCTCGTATTTGACTTATTTAATTCCATTATTCACTAACGCTATTGAAGTCGATGATTATAGACGAGGATAGGCGGCATATATATTTCGACAGAAATTATTCACATGATCTAACTAGAGTCAGATTTCGGGCCACTGAAAGCCTGTGCTATACAGTCAAAGGCTTTTCCAACACGAAATAACGTGCTAAACAACAAAAGAACCAGTCACTACAAAAGAGTTCAATACCTGAGAATCAATAAAAATATTCTCAACAAGGTGGGATCAGATATCTACTTACCGGGATTCCAGCGATCCTCCCAAATAGAGAGTCAATGGTTAGCAGTCCTACACTGAACCACGCCGTGACCTTGTGCTTAGTCAAGCACGGTTTCACTGTCAACAGTACGGCAACATGCAGTCGAAAATCAGGCAAGTGTTTAATCAAAATCACATAATAAAAGTTCGGGCGAGGAAGACTGAAGAACACAAAGTGTGGTCAAAAGAGATCTGAACAAAGGTTAAAATACACGACAGAGAGAAGAAACAAATAAATGACAGTACTGTTCTGCAAAAATCCTGTGGAGGGATTTCCAGCGTTTTCTTTCCGTTACACTATCTCTAAAAGATCGACATTTTAAGGTCAATGTTAGCTTTATTTTCTCTCAGGAAATCAAATGTGTTAGTGAGGTCCCTCAGGGTTCAATACTAGGACCTCTTCTTTTTCTTGATTTATGTAAACGATCTTCCACATCAGGCATAGTCAGATTTATTAATTTTCACTGACTATGTGACACTTTGTAGAAAAGTACTAAACCAAAGGGATAAACTGGCACCTCAGGATGATCTGACTTGACTCCAAAGTTAGGTAGATGACAACGGTCTTACATCTAACACTTCAAGGTGTATAGTGGTCCATCTGAGACATGTTGCAGACTACAGTTACAAATTAGAAAGCTCCTCTCTAGAAGTATCCCAAGTTGAGAAAGATTTGAGAGTGTTGGTACCCTATGGTCTGAAGTCTTACACTAACTATGACAAAAATGCCTCCCGAGCAACCCTGTACTGGTAACGTTGAAGAGCATTTTTGGCCAGTTTGACGGAAGAACTTTCCAGATAATCTCCAACAGTTTCATTAGTCCCCATTTGGAGTACGGAACCACAGTATTTCCTCCCTCACTCCACAAGGATAAAGACACTCTGGAGCGTATCCCACGGCGAGTTAAAAATTATTTCGGGGACTCAAATTCAAGCCTTATGAAGAGCGCCTCTAATCACTCAACATTTACTCATTACAGTACAGGCGTATTAGAGGTGATCTAATGGCTTACAGCATCCTAAATAGTTCTGGGCATCCCCTTAAACACCTACTTAAGTTTATCTTCAACACAAATCTAAGGAGTAACACACAGAAACTAGAGACACAACACAACAGAACGGAGTGTAGACACACCTTCTACTCCTTCATAGTAGTCAGATGTTTGAATTGGCTTCTGAACAAGCTAGTCTAGTCGACTTCCCCGAAGTCATTTAAGACGATACATTATATATTTTTAGGTTTTAAGGACAGTATCTCACCATGCTTTACCAACTTATTTTCGTTTTCCTCTTTTATCAATAATGTACCTTAGTCCTTTTCTAGAGGTATCTGTGATCCACTACTACTAGACATGGAGGCCCATTATGCGAAACTTCTATTCTGTCCGGAACTTTTTGAATCAACCAATGGTAATAGAGATATTTGCACACAATCCGCGGTAGTTACGAAAATTTGCGATTCCTGGGCGTACAGCTATTGTTTGCTGGATATGCGTTCTACACTGTTATGTTTCATTGTATGTTTGTCTGGTTCTGTAGCGCTTGTTAGAAAAGAAATCAATGAACCTGCCACAGCTAACCCTATTACTTTTAGTGTAGATGGTTGCTTGCTATTATCAGCTATCATGAAGATTCACATATCAAAATCAGTAAGTTCCCCTGTCTTTTTTTTGTTGTCATCGCATATGATTCTTAAAATCCGTATGAATTAATGCTAATACTTTTTTCGATGTCGGTGGTTTCACTGTGACCAGGAGCTTTTCAGTTCTTTTTGGGAAGATTATTAACTCCACTCTGTTAAAACGGTAATATGCAGAACTCTCCGTTTTCAAACTCGTGTGGATATGTGCGTCTCTCTACTCATTCTGGGTTTCTGTGGGTTCCATAAATGCTGTGCTGATCCAAGGGAACAAAAAGGGAAATAAAGGCTGATTTTGGATAGAATCCTTAACAGGAATCAGTCTAGATTCAGGCGAAAATGTATCAGTATGTCACCTTTCTCCATAGCTCAGGGTTAGTAGTGTGATTACTCTCGAAATTTCCCCGCCGAATGTCTACGTTTCCCCCAAATTAGCACCAAATTGCCTGCTCCCCCCCAAAAAATAACACCTAATTATCTGATCTTTCACAATATCAACAAGTAAAATAGGTAGTTTCCAGCGAAAGGCAACATCCTAGTTCACTGTGTACTTCGGAAGTCAACATCTAATTCCCTATGTCAAACAAATTACATGCGCGTTCGACAGTAATCAGCATAGTGAGTTTAGTGAGGACAATGCATTAACGATTTTCACATATATAGTTGTCAAGATCATTTACATAGAGGGAACAGCAAAATGCCCACATTGAAATGGCAGAAAAAGTTGTTTTCAACCGTAATCTAAAAAAAAATTGTGAGAGGTTCTCATATAAAGAAAACTTAGATACTCAGATACTCATGCACACTAACGTTTACCCGCTACATCTAGTTATTTTTGACGTACTCGATCCATATGAAAAGCTTAGTACGGGTTTAAAGGATATTTAACAAAAAAATATTTACACTAAATGTAACTTGCACAATAATAGTGTTTTCGGTGATAAGCAGCGTTTTCATTACTTGAATCCTAAAATAAAACCGGAATTGACAATTACGGATATTTTTGTGAAGTGTTTATATTGAAATTTACTATCCAACATGGTATTGCAAACAGATGACGGCACCTACAAACGAAAGAGCATGTTCACGGCCTAAATCACATTTACATTATCTTTCGATAATAACGCTTGTTCACTTCATCCCTCGTATCATGAAAGAACCTTTGGGTAGCCACATCGTTTACGTTTGCAAATTCTTTCTCGCTGACGTTGAACGATAGAAATTGTGATGTCAACACATCTTTTAAATAACGTAAACTAGAATGTAGTCTTGCTTCGTATAGCATTATGGAATACGTACTTCGTAGTGCTCCTTTCTGTAGCAGCACTCATCAACGTAAAGTTCATTACCGATTCCGGCTTGATCAGGTATGATAATACAGACCTGAGGGACGTTTTCGGATCGCGATCCATCAGCCTAGTAATCATCGCCATCTAAATAGTAAATAAACTAAACTCAATCTGCCTACTTACAAATTTATCCCTTGTTGCTTCTCGCTAAATAAACATGTCTAAAGCTTGCAATTCGTCTTCAGTTGACAAAGGGGAATTTAAGCCAGCTAGTGCCCCGCTAAATTGTTTTGACTGATGTTCTGTTGTTGGTGTTTGCAACAATAGCATCATTTGGCTCATATTTGCAGACTACTCACAACCTCAACCGACAGTTTTTTTATTTTTGCATTTGTTTTTGATAATCTACAAGACTTCAGAATATTTCAAATAAAACTTACCATAGTTTGCAATGTTATTAGGTGTTGAGATACTGACTGACGGCAAATGCTCTACTTCGGTTGAACTAATTCATACACAGTTATGGAGATAACAGATTTACTTGACAATTGGAGAAGTTTATGTTTCGAACAGCCTAACTTGAGGATACTCCATCCAATCGTACCCAGCTTGCATTTTCGCGACATCCAAGTCGACAGAGTCATACAAGTAATCTGGCTGGCGTTTAATTACTCCTGTAGAAAATCAGAGACAATAACTGATTTACCGTCTGGGCTTTTCTGTGTGCATTGGTGCGGTGTTCCCATCCTGCGAGTGACAATATACAACTTGGTGGACGGGTTGGCCAAGTCTAAAGCACAACTGAAATAATCTGCAAGGGAATAATTAATGTTTGCAGCTAACCAAAGTAGTGAGAAGGCGCACATTTTACAGTGGACTAACTGTCGTCCGAATGCACGTTGTTTCTTAACGCCATGTCCACTAAGGTTGTTGGATAAATGTAGGGGTTTTCAGTGTGTAATGTTATTCGGTAGTTTTTTTCATTTGACATTTTTAGTATCCGTTTGGATTCAGGTTGCGTCTCCGTCAATTATTTTACCACCATGTCGTCTTTATGCATGTTCTATATCAAGTATTTTAAGTGTCTAATTGATTGCTCATGTAATGCTGTTTTAGGACGCTGTTAAGCAATCAGAATCAGTGTTTACAACCTACATTAATTCAACAAATGCTAAAAGCATCAACTCCAGCGGCGCATGCATCAATTCCACTAGCAAAGAATACAACCTCTTAAACTTGGGTTGGAAGCCGAATGGTTCTGAGGGCAATTGGAATATATCATTTAATTTCTCTGAGACCCATCCTGGTTATTATGGTTTAACTAATGTATACTTATTGTACTGGCTGGATAAATCGGGTCAGTTTATTGTCTAGTTTTCTTATGACATTTCGTTTTATGAACTAAAATTTTTTTCAGTAGTAGGTTATAAATTTTGTAATCCCATGTCACTGGTCGCAATCATTGATCGTTCCAATATATAATAGAGGGTTAAAATCATCCTGTAACAACCATAGACGGATTACTTTAGCTAATATAGCTTCTAATATACTAGCCTCGATAATTATCGGACGCCTAACAAGGACTCGTGAACGGCAAACACGAGAGAATCGGACTGGCCTCAGACTTGGTCATGGCTGCATCGACCACATATTCACCATTCTTCAGGGTCTAGAACACAGGCATACTTGTCGGCGTCCGACAATGGTGGTCTTTCTTGACTTAAAAGCAGCATTTGACTCGGTAGACCGCGAGATTCTGTCGCAGTGTCTGTCATTGGAAGGCGTACCTCAGAAGTACGTAGACATTGTGAAGGCTCTTTACTCGAACACTACTAGTCGAGTCAGAGCTTATGGCGAACTGTCATCTACCTTTGCAACCTCAAGTGGTGTTCGTCAAGGATGCCCACTTTCCCCATTTTTGTTTAACTTCATCATAGATCTACTGATGGAAATAACTTTCTCGTCGACTGAGTTCTCGGGTATTGATCTCCATCCAGGAGGTCCACTTATCGACTTAGAATACTCAGATGACATAGTTCTGTTTGGTTAAGACGCTGATAAAATGCAGTCTTTTAGTAGCACAAAGCAACAATGCCAGAATGTTTGTAATGCGCTTCTCTCCCTCGAAATGCAAGTTGTTGCTTCAGGATTGGTCTGCGTCAACATCGGAACTAAGGATAGAGAGTGAAGTAGTCGAACGCGTTAACAACTTCACTTATCTTGGAAGTCTGATCAGCGCTAATGGGTTGGTGTCTGACGAAATCTCAGCACGGATTCGAAAAGCTCGTTTGGCTTTCGTCAACTTACGTCACCTATGGCAAAAGCGAGTTATCCCTCTATCAATTAAGGGACGGGCATACTGTGCGGCAGTCCGTTCTGTTTTAATTTACGACAGCGAAACATGACCATTAAGAGTAGGTGATACTCGTAAGCTACTAGTATTTGACCACAGATGCCTTAGAAATATTGCTGGAGTCTGCTGGGATCACCGGGTAAGTAATAGTGAGGTTAGACGCAGGGTATTAGGGAATGATGGTAAATCAGTTGATGAGGTTATGAATCTTCATCGACTGAGATGGTTGGGCCACGTGTTACGTATGCCTGAACACCGATTACCACAACGTGCAATGCTATCCGGTATTGGAGATGGTTGGAAGAAAGTTAGGGGCGGCCAAACCAAAACGTGGCATCAGTGCTTGAAGTCACTAACTTGTAGTCTGAGCCATGTTGGTAGATGCAGACTACTTGGTTGGGGTCCGCGTGACTATCGTAACCAATGGTTGGAGACTCTTGGTGACATGGCTCAGAATCGATCACAATGGCGTCGGTGTATACACTCCCTGTCTTCCCTTAAACTAAGAGATTGAAATCGCTTCATATCTTCCTTTCTACGAACTAATTCTTTCTTCCTGTACTATATCTTTATTGCAATCTTTCTTTTATATATTACAACCATTGACTTAACTACTCCTATGAATCCGATGTTCATCTTGTTATGCTAATGAGGTATGGCAACTTGGACCGATGCATATATATGCCTGGCCCTACGTTCTAGCTGACTGACTATAAATATTGTACACGTTTATATTATCAATTAAGTGGTCTCTAGTGTTTGTTACTACGTTTGTGTGCTAAAGATGCATCAAATGCATATTTTCATTTGATCTACAAACTCGCAACGTTCTAGTTTGTACAGAGATGAGTTTTTATCTATCGTTCCCTTGTAGCTTAAAATTGTTTCATAAAAGAATATTATTCTGTATCTGTCGATCAACGTATTTTTCGGTTATCTTAGCAGAGACATCAAGTTATATATTTTTCTTCACTTGCTGCCTTATTTATAGTAAATAGTTTCCATTCATGCTTTTCAATAATGTTCTGCTTTGTATCACAAGTTCGTGTATTCATGTCATAGCTGGTAGCATCTGTTTGACAGTCTGCTATATCAAACCAGCACAAATAAGGCATCAGCCTGTTTTCTGCACCACATTACAGTCGTAGGTCTTACTTACTTACGCCTGTTACTCCCAATGGAGCATAGGTCGCCAACCAGCATTCTTCAACCCAATCTGTTCTGGGCCTTCATTTCTAGTTCCATCGAATTGTTTATTCCTTTCATGTCTGTCTCTGTTTCTCGGCGTAATGTGTTCTTCGACCTTGAGGATTCCAAGTGAGGACTTGTCTTGTGACGCAGTTGGGTGCTTTCCTCAATGTGTGTCCTATCCACTTCCAGCGATTCTTCTTGATTTCTTCCTCCGATAGGATCTGGTTTGTTCTCTCCCACAGTAGGTTGTTGCTGATAGTGTCTGGCCAATGGATCCGAAGTATTTTACGTAGACAGCTGTTAGTAAACACTTGTGTTTTCTGGATGATGGCTTTCGTAGTTCCCAGGTTTCCACTCCATACAGTAGAACTGTCTTGACATTTGTATTGAAAATTCTGACTTTGGTGTTGGTTGACAGACAGTTGTTTTGAGTTCCAGATGATCTTCATTTGTAAATATGCTGCTCTTGCTCTACCGATCCGATCCGCTCATTCACATCTGCATCAGATCCACCGTGTTCATCAATGATGTTGCGCAGATATGTGAAGGTTTTTACATCTTCCAAATCTTCCCTGTCAAGTGTGATTAGCTTGTTGCATGCTGTGTTGTATCGGAGAATCTTGCTTTTGCCTTTGTTTATGTTGAGACCTACTGTTACTGCTGCTACACTGGTGGTCTTCTCCTGCATTTTTTGTCGCGTGTGCGATAGAAGAGGCATATCATCTGTGAAGTCTGGATCGTGCAGCTGCATCCTAGGTGTCCACTGTATCTCATGCTTTTCCCGGATGTTGGCGTCTTCATAATCCAGTCGATCATCAGGAGAAAGCGAAAGGGTGGTAGTAGGCAACCTTGCCTGACACCGGTCTTTACTTCGAACGAGTCTGTCAGCTGTCTTCCATACACCATTTTGCAGTTTAATACATCATATGAATTCCGTATGATATTGACTATTTTCTTAGGCATGCCGTAGTGTTGAAGAAGCTTCCATAGTGTTGTCCTGTCCACGCTATCAAATGCTTTCTCGTAGTCAATGAAGTTGATATAGAGTGATGAATTCCATCCAATTGATTGTTCTACAATGATCCGTAGAGTTGCGATTTGGTCTGTACACGATCTATCCTTACGGAATCCTGCCTGTTGGTCTCGAAGTTGGGCGTCTACGGAGTCAGTTGTAGGTCTTAGCTAAGTGTATTAAAGGTATTTAAGCAATTTACGACACTGATCATATTTCTTGCTAGTCTTTATGTCTAGTGTTTTAAAGTGTATTGAAACTACATCATCTTTGCGGTAACCATTGGTTTAATGGCTGAAATACTACTGACTAAAACATTATTGAATGGTATTAGCACTACTTAGTAGACATTTATGTAGATGTATCCTGTTTTAAAATGCGCTTGTTCCCCACAAATGAAAATTACTGGTGGGTCTTTCAAGGTATGGTTCATATACTACTCTCCACTTTCCTCATCAGGCTTTGACGAGTTAAGTGTTGACTTGTAATCTTCACTGGCCAACTTTGTCCAGTATGCAAGGCTACATTAGGTTAACAGGTTTCATACGCCTTTGTTTCTCGGGATGAAATATATGGACTGAACACTAAGTCGTAGCATACTTGAATGTTTGTTGCTTACGTTTGCCTGATAATCGTGGTAAACAACCAGAGACGTCGAGTGACGCTTCAAAACCAGTCACTGACGCGAATGCATTAATTCTTTACCTTCCTCTAGATCTTGAATCAATGTACAAATGTGTCATGTTTTACGTTGCATAAGACTGATGACTAAGAACTCGAGTTTCAATAGTATTTCATGTTTTATTCAGCCAACTATCTCAATCTAGATTAAGGTCCGGACACGATAGACTATCTGGTTTAACCTTGGGTCTGGAGAGATGAAAACTATTCTGTTACCCGATCAGTTGACAAGCAAGATAGAAGACAAGTCAACTGGAACAAGACTCGGTTTGTTTTTGATTCCAAATTCAGATCAGTGCAAAAAACATGAATAAATAGATGTTTAACGTGGCCACAACGCCAAACAATTAGAAAAATACAATTATGTCGAAACTGGGCATTAGCGTAGAAAAAAATAGAGTACTAAATGTTACGTTCAAATTACAATAGCTTTGGAACAGAAATGGGTATGTCAGTGAATCATGCATCAAACTGAAGCTTATGGTTTACAGAATAACGTGGGGACGAAACTAAATGTTTGTGTCTTACAATTCTTGAATTACGCGAAATAGTGTCTACCAAGATAACTTTCGTTGTTTGTCGAAGCTTCTTTGTTTCGTTGTTTATATTACTGATAAATATAAAGCATAACTGTCATACAATCTCATCGTAGTGAATATGATTTTTTGCTCGCCTAAATCAGTTGATATATTGTAGATTAGTATCAGAAAACTTGACCAACACTGATCTCAAATCAAGTCACAGACACTGAACATTGAATTTTCAGTTGTTCAAGTACTCCTTCTAAACAAATACAAACCTTGGAAGACTATTAATATCATTTATTTATATTATTCGAGAAAATGTAATCTAGGGTAGAAGATTTGTAAACTTTTTAACATAATAAACTATTAAGTAAACACTTAAAAAAGCTCATATTTTCATTTGAACTATGTAACAATTCCAGTCAAAGAAATTAACACATCGATATGTATGACATTATTTCTTGTTTATTGATCACTATTAATCGTGATGGTATATGAATTCGAACGAAATGATCGAATGTACGTACTTTAGCTAGAAGTAAAAACCAGCATGTGCATTTCGTCCTATTTTTGGACTCGTCAACTGGAAATGCCTG